CAGTTGGTTAAGCATCCAACTTGCTCGGGTCATGATCTCACAGTTCATGGGTTCGAGCCCCGCATCAGGTCCTGACAGCTAGCTTGGAACCTAGAGCCTGTTTTGGATTCTGTGCCTCCCTCTCTCTCTCTGACCCTCCCCTGTTCATGCTCTCTCTCTCTCTCTCAGAAATAATAATAATAAAAAAAAGTCAGCTCTCACTACTCTAACTCTATGTAGTATTGAAAGTTCTAGCCAATGCAATAAGGCAAGAAAAGGAAGTAAAAGGCATACAGATAGGAAAGGAAGAAAGAAAACTATCTCTGTGTGCAGATGAGATGATTATCTATGTAGAAAATCTCACAATGGTGCTGGAACAATTGGACATCTACAGGCTAAAGGGGAAAAACACAACCTCACCCTTCATCTCATACCTCCTACAAAATTTAACTCAAAGTGGATCACAGGCTTAACATGTAACACATAAAACTTTTGGACTTTTAGAAAAAAACACAGGAGAAAATCTTTAGGATTAAGGGCTAGGCAAAGAATTCTTAGACTTGGTACCAAAACCACAATCCATGGAAGGAAAAGTTGATAATTTGAACTTCACTGAAATTTTATAATTTTACTTTGTGAAAGATCTTGTTAAGTGGATGAAAAGATAAGCGACAGACTGGGAGAAAATATTTGTAAAACACATATCTGAAAAAGGACTAGTATCTAGAATATATAAAGAACTGTCAAAATTCAACAACAAAAAAAGCAAATAATCAAACTAGAACACACACAAAAGACATGAAGAAACATTTCACTGGAGACGATACACAGATGGCAAATTAGCACATGAAAAGATGTTCAACAACAGCAACCATTAGGAAAATGCAAATTTAAATTGCAGTGAGATATGACTACATACTTATCAGAATGGCTTTAAAAAAATAAAAAAGAAAGTAGGGACAACAATAATGCTGGCAAGGATGTGCAGAAACTGGATTATTCATACATCACTGGTAGGAATATAAAACAGCATAGCCATTCTGGAAAACAGTTTGGTGTTTTTTGTTTTTTGTTTTTAAACTAAATCCAATTATCATATGACCCAGTAATTGCACTCCTAGGCATTTATCTCAGAGCAATAAAGACATGTTCACACAAAAACCTGTACATGAACGTGGATAGCAGCTTTATTCATCATAGCCCCAATTGGAAACGACCCAGATGTCCCTCAATGGATGGATGAGTAAATAAACTGTGGTACATCCATGCATACCACGGAATACTACTTGGCAGTGGAAAGAATGAACTTTGATATACGCAGCAACTCAGATGAATCTCCAAAGAATTATGCTGAGTCGGAAAAAAAAAGAGCCATTCCTCCAAAGATTACATACTTATGATTCTGATTGTCTAACATTCTGAAATGACCAAAGTATAGAAATAGAGAACAGATTGGTGGTTGTGGGACGGTGGGGGGTGGAGGGCTGGTTAAGGAGGGGTGAGAGTGGGAGGGAAGTAGGTGGGGCCATAAAAGGGCAACATGAGAGAGAGATCTTGGTGGTGATGGAAATGTTCCACATCCTGACGGTTTCAATGTCAGCCTCTGCGTTGGGATACTGTATTCTAGCACCAAGGCCACCATTGAAGGAAACCGGCTACAGGTACGTGGATCTCTTTGTACTGGAGCTCCTAATACCACGTGACTCTTCAAATATCTCAAAATAGGGGCACCTGGGTGGCTTAGTCGGTTAGGCGTCCGACTTTTGCTTAGGTCATGATCTCGCGGTTCGTGGGTTCGAGCCCCGCGTCGGGCTCTGTGCTGACTGCCAGCTCAGAGCCTGGAGCCTGTTTCAGTCTGTGACTCCCTCTCTCTCTGACCCTCCCCTGCTCACACTGTCTGTCTCTCTCTCTCCTAGAAATAAATAAAACATTAAAAAAAATATATCTCAAAATAAAACATTTAATTGGAAAAAACTTAGGTGACAACAATGCAGACAGAGATTGGATTGGGGGAACATGATGGAGATGAGAGGGAAGATATTTGTGGAACCCCACTCTAGAGAAGATGTCTGTTTATTGTGAATACTCTTTAGCGGTTGTCGTTGGCCAAAAGTTCTTCAAACACAGTTTGCTGTGATGGATCAAGTGCTGGAGGGCTTTACGGGCTGTGGTTTGAAGCAAAGCAGGTGGGGTCAAGTTTGGGAGCCGCATGGGGAGGTCGGGAGGTCAAGACCCGGGCCAACTTGGCCAGAACTGGTGCAGCTGCTTCCTCCCCTCCCCCTGGTGGTGAGGGGCTGCTTCGCTCAGGCCCAGGGTGGGAGGCTTCTGGGAGTCCTGGGGGCATGACAGCCACTACCCGGGGAAACTTTCAGGGAAAGGGAAGCAGCCCCCTAAGCAGCCCCCTCCCCACCCCTGCAAGCCTGGGCAAGGTTGAGGCCCAGGGCACTGTGATCCTTGGCTCCTCCAGGTGTTAGGCCTATCTCTCTGATGACACCTGGGCTTGGACTTGCAGGTGTTTTCATTTCTCCAGGTTCCCGTTGTTCAGGTGCGGGCTTTTGTTTCACTTTGTGTATTGCTCTACAGCAGGGGAAGGTGTGCATCAGAATCACCCAGGAGCTTGATAAGACACAGGTTTCTGCTACTCCCAGAGTTTCTGATTTCATAGGTCTGGGGCGGGGCGGGGGTGTGTGGCGTATTTCTACTATGCTTCAGAGTTGATGCTGGTGAGGATTCCTCTGGCCCAGAGAGCACACCCGCAGAACCACTGGGGTAATGGGGTGCAGGCATGACAGCCAGAAGGGTGAGACAGCCCCTCCCGAGAAGGCCCTAGGGAACTTCCCCATCTCTGCCTGGCACAGCTGAGGCGCCCTATAGTTTGGGACTCCAGCAGGGCAGCGACGGGGCACCTGCATAACAGGCCTGAGGGGCAGTGAGGTGAGTGTGTGTGCTGGAGGGCTGGGGGGGAAGGGGGCGGTGCCAGAGAGGAATAGGGTTTGGACTTAAGGCCAAAGGCCCGGGGGGGGGGGGGGGGGGGGGGGGGGCGGTGCACAGAATGGGAGTATTGGGTGTTTCCAGAGTGGAGTGAAGGCTAGGGGAGGGAGAGGCTGAGGACTGCTAGGGGCGCTGACCTCCGGGGTTGGAGGCGCTGTAGCGGCTACCCGAATCTGGCAGGGGTGGGGGTGGGGGACCGCTGAGGTCGCGGGGAGGCTGGGCTTGGAGGGACCAGGGCGTCGTATAGGGATAGGGGAGCAACGTGTCAATGTGTGTGTGTGAGCGCGTGTCATTCCCGAAGGAGTTAGGGGTTGAGATTTGGGAGCTGGGGGCTGTTGTAGGGTTCAGCTTTCAGGGGCTGAGCGGCGATAGGAGGCTGGGACAGGGATCCCAGAGAGGGACGGCGGGGCTGGGCCGATTGCGGAGGATAAGCTGGAGGGAAGGCGGAGGCGAACTGGGGGCGGCGGGGCGGAAGTGCGTGTCCCGCGACTCGGAGGAATACGGCGGTGGGGCGGGGCGGGACCCTGGCGGCCGGGCAGAAGCGGCGGAGTCCCCGCCGGAGCACAGCCCCGCGGCAGCGCCTCCCTCGCACACACCGCCCGGAGCCCGGCGCCGCCACCGCCCCGCTGCCCCCGCCGGCCGCGCCGTGACGCGGGTATGAGCCCGGCCTGCCGCCCGCCGAGCAAGCGCCCCGGGCCCGGGCCTTGGCGCCCAGGTAACTTGGGCGGCGCGAGGCGGGGAGGGGGCCCATAGGCCACGCCCGAGCCCGCGAGACCCTCGGCGACCCCAGCCCTAGAACTCTCCAAGCCCATACCTACCTTATCGGGGGAAGGGGCCTCGGGGACCCTCCCACAAAAGCCTCCCAGGCCCTGGAAACTATCCCCAAGCTCCACCTACAACAGATCTCGTCTAAACGGAGCCCAGGTGCGGGCCCTGACCTCACCTCTGCCCCACACCAACCTTGGGAGAAGCCCAGGGCCCTGTGGTGCCCGCTGTGGGCCTGCCTCCCCTTCGGGCATATCGCAGCCCCCATCCTCTTCCCGACTTTCCTGCTCCCCATGCCCTGCCCTCTCTCTGCTCCCCCAAATTCCAAGAGACTTTACCCCAGCTGCCCACTCGCACTGCAAATGGTTCCTATTCTCAACTTAAACTCATGGTCAGCTCCCCTCCTTTCCTTGAACCTTCCTCCCCTGGCCATGGGGGGCTGCCCACCTTCCCCCCTGCCAGAGCCCCCAAGGCCCAGCTTCCAGCTAAATGTGTTCTGTCACTGCAAAGAAGCTTGAGCAGAGGCTGAGCACCTGGGTGGTGTGGGCAGAACAGGGCCTCTGTGCCAGCCCCAAGCCGTGGGTGCATGACAGTTGCCAGGATATGTGGAGTGCAGGGGTCTGCAAGTCCAGGGCAGTGAGGGGCCTAGCAGGGTTCTTGGCCGCGGTGCAAGCCTGGCTGTGTTTAGTGCAGATTCTTGCCCCTTTCAGAGAGATGTGACTCTAGTGCAGACCATTCCCGCTCCCCTTGCAGGATGGGGCCCGGGACCTGTGCCCCCTCCCACCCAGTTGCTTGCCTCTCTGTGCTTGGGTGCTGGCTACGTTTAGCACTTCCTTCCCGGGCAGGGCATGACCTCCCCCCTACAACCCTGACCAAGATGGGGCGGCCCAGCCACGGTGTCTGCAGTACTGTCTCCCCCAAGGCAGCCTTGAACCGAGCTGGGCCGGGGCCTCGCTGGTTCTCCCGGAACAACAGTCTGCTGTCCGTGGCAGTCGCCTGGGGAAGCCCCAGGACCGGGACCCAGGGAGGCGGGAGCCCGCCGCTACTTAACGTGCCTGTGGAGGTCAAGCTGGGCCCTGCCAGGTGCCTATGGGTGGTGGTGGGAGGACCAGTGCTGGAGAGAATTGGGCTTTCAGTCCCCAATTACTGAGCACTTACTCGGCACTGGGCACCATTCTCTGCACTGGGATGGAGCTATTAACTCAACAGATGAGGCACTGATGTTCTAGAGTGTTCTAGGAGACTGATGTTCTAGAGTGTTCTAGGAGACAGAGAGCGGGCAAGTAGCAAATGGAGAGATGAAGTAACAAGACAGTCCTATGGCCTCCCATCCAAGAACTAACCAGGCCCGACCCTGCTTAGCTTCCAACATCAGACGAGATCGGGCACGGTCAGGGCGGTATGGCCGTAGACAAGACAGTCCTTTGGTGAGGTGTGTGATGAAGACCGTGAAGCTGGGTAGAGGCTGACTGGTGGGGCTTCTTTGGCTTTGGTGGTCAGGGAAGGCCTCTCTGAGGAGGTAAGCTTTAAGCTGAGACCTGAGTGAAGCGTCGAATGAACCTTGGGACCATCCGAGGGAACGGTGTTGTAGGTGTGGAACGGCAAGTGCAGTGGTCCTGCGTGGGAAGAATCTAGGCATGTTGAGGAACAGATAGAAGGTCATGCACGCTGAGCTGGGCAGGTGGGTTGAGGGGAGACGAGGCCAGGGGGCTGGGTGAGGGGCTGGGACAGGGCACAGTGGCAGTGTGTGGAGGCATAGCACCACTTTCCTGACTTAAAGGCCAAGGAGACTGTGGCTGTTCAGATGTCCCCTCGTCCCACTGTCCCTGTCTGCCCAGTTGGGTACTTGGTCTGTCTTCACCACCCGCCACCAACCATCTTGGATGAGACCTGCAGTGTTTGAGGTGGTGGTTGCTTCAGGGGATTTGCAGAGGTGGAGGCAGAGGGTGGGATGGGAGACGCCCTCCTGGCCCCTGATACAATCACACTGTGGGAGACTCCCGAGTCTGAGTAGGGGTGATGGGGGGCGTCCCTGATTCTGGAGAGAGTCCTGCCGATAGGATCTTTGCTACGGGGCGAGCCCAGGAGATGATAGGGTGTCCAGGGAGGGCTGTTCCTAGAGCCCTGACATGATCCTATCTGTCAGGGGTGGGGAGGCCCAGCCGGGCAGGCAGCCGATCGCTCAGTCATTGGCTGCCAACAGCAGCAAGTAGCATTTGTTCTGGAACCAAAGCCTCCAGGCAGAATCCAGGTGCAGGAAGGGAGTGCTCAGAGGGGCTGCCCTATGGGGCAGGTGGGCAGGGGGGCACCACTCTGCTAGGCATCAGGGGGTCTCACTTTGCATTCCAGGGAGAGCTGGGGAAAGGGGCCTTTGAGCCTGGCTCTGGCTGTACAGGAGCCCTTCACGGCCTGGCTCAGGGTGGGTGCCATCTCTCTGGGCTGCCATGTTGATGCCAGGCTGGGAGGAGGAATGGGGGACCCCGCCCTCCCCCGCAGTACTGAGGGGGCTGCCGACCTCTGTCCTTAGCTTCTCTGGGTGTTCAGAGCTGAGCTCACAGGTCTGAGACATCAGGCCGTGAATTAGGGGCATTCCTTGCAGCTGTGGGTCTGAGCGAGGCAGCACTGGGGGTGGTCCTAGAGCGATGGGGAACATGGCCCCCGGTGTGACAGGGCAGGGGCTGCCTCAGCCCTGTGCCTGGCCTTGGGAGTTCCACCATGATGCCCCATTGGGCCTGGCAAATTCAGTCCGGGGGACACCTCTCCAGCTTCATACAGTCCCTCAGGGGGATGAGTTAGTTCTGGGCGCCCCCATACCTGATCCCGTTGCCTTCCCCTCCCTCCCTCATTCCCCTTTGCTTTACCATTTTGGGTCGCACACTGGGTCTTGCTCTTGCAGACTTCATCAGGGTCTGTGTGGCCAGGAATCCCTGTGACTTAGGGCCAAAGAGGCTGCCAGGCCTTATGGCACCCAGGCTTCGTGTGGAAGATCGCTCTTTTGCTGGTTTATTTCCACGGGGCTGCCTCTAGGGCTTAGGGTGTGGGCCTGTGGATGGACAGGGCAGTGGTGCTCCTGAGGACTTGGCATCACAGTCACTTGGGAAGGTAGCTGTTGGGCGGGGCCATGACAAGAAGCCTGCCCTGGGCAGGTGGAAGCCTCAGTTATGGTAGTGTCACAGGCTTTGAAATAAACACAGCCTGGTTTTGGGGTGGAAGCTCTGGGTCCAAAGTGGGCAAACAGGTGCCTCCTGGGTTTATTTCCTCACTTAAAGTGGAATTTATTCTCTCTTTTTTATTGATGGGGAAACTGAGGCACAGAGAAGTTAAGTAGGCGCCCAGAACCACCAGACTGCTGGATTCACATTCCTGGCCTTGCCCCGCCCCAGTCTCCCCTGAATGAACCCAGAAGCCAATGGCCAGCCTTGGAGGAGAATTTTACAGAGTGGTCCTTGCTGTGGGGGCAAGGCAGTCCCATGGGCAGGCAGTAGAGGCAACGCTGGGGAAACTTACCAGTCTCCACTGCCAGAGCTCCGGCGTGGCAGGGCTGTTCGGGGTCAGTGTTGGGAAGGGGACCCTAGACCGGACTTTACAAGAGGAAAGCAGATCCCTTGGATGTCCCATCTGGGAGGGTCTCAGACCCCAGGGGGCTGGGACAGAGGGAGTGAATGGGCAAGGAGGCAGCTGAGGGGATGCTGAAGAGACTATCGGGGTGCAGGTAGGATAGGGGAGCAAGCATCACCCTCTCCACCCCTCTCCTTGTTTGCGTGTGCCCACTGGGGTAGGCCCATCTGTTCCTTGTTAGGGACTCAGCAGACAGTCCTCCAGGAGGGTAATTAAGGCCAAGTTGCTGGTGGATCCAGCAGCAAGCCTGCCCCAGGGCTTCATCCTGGCAGCACAGATGCCCAGCTGACCCCAGAAATGATGCTCCATCCCACCTAGCAGCCCTGGAGGCGCGGGGGAAGGGAGGGAGATGCGTGTTGCCGGCAAAGCCCCTGAATGGTAGGCTAGGGCTCGGGTGGTGGTAGCAGCCGGAGATGGCCACAGGACCTTCCACCTCCCCTGCTCTCCCTGGGCCTGCCTCCATCAGCCACTCTCAAACATCTCATTCATTGCTGGCTGTGCCCCAGACCTGCTGTGTGACCTTAGCCTTGTTGCTTAGCCTCTCTGGGCAACTTTATTTTCCGTATCTGTAGAATGGGTGTTGGACTGCGCCATTGCTGAGACCCCCCCCCCCCCCGCCCCCCAGTCTTAGTCCCAGCTTTTTATCTACCTGATTCAGAGCGGCCCCTGCTGGCATCCCCATTTCCTGCTCCCTATAGACTTCCCCTTGGTGCTCCTCACAGCTATCTGGCTGAGTCCTCTAACCCAGGGCCAGGTGACTGCTGGTTCTGTCTGTAATTAACTCCTGCCTGTGCTCGGGACACGGGGCACTGCATGGCCCAGCCTGCGCCAGCACCCCACAGATCGGCCGGCTTTCCTAGCACCAGGGCGAGGTGACTGCTTCCACGGTGGCCACCTCTGGCCGGCCTAGCACATTCCTCAGGCTTATCTGGTGGCCCGCCCTGCTGGACTCTGCCCTCCCACCCAGGAAGCAGCACCCAGAGGAGCTCCTGAAGAGTTCCAGGGGCCGGGAGGAGGGCATAAGTGGGCTTCTCAGCCTCCCTTCTGGGGCTGGAGAGAACCAGGTATAGAATGGCAGGGGAGGGTGGGCAGAGGGATTTGGGGGTCTGCTGAGACTGGCCAGGCAGACTGTCCTGGACCTCGGGGAGCATGGATTTCACTCAGACATCAGACTTCTTGCCCTGTCCTGGGCACCCCGCCTCCCCTCTCTTGGAAGGCTCTCCCAGGAGGCCTGTGCATGGGAGGGGGCCTGGTTCTGGGAAGGTCACCCTAAGTCGGCTCCAGAGTTGTAACGGGAGACAGGACGGGACAGCAGCTCCTCGGCCGCCTCCCTGTGCTCCCACCTCCACAGTGGGAGCCAGCGCCAGTCCTTCCAGGAAGGGGTTAACCGCCAGCCCCGGCCGTGAGGGAGGGGACTGGGCTGGACCATTTTCCTTGCTGCTGCCTCCACCTCATTTTCCTGAATGGTTCTGTCGTCCCAGGGTGGGGAGGGAAGGGAAGGAAGAAGGGCGGGAGGGCGGGCGGAGGGAGGGAGGAGTGTGGGAAGAGGAAGGAAAAAAGAGCGAGACAGCCAGGGGAAGAGAAAGATGTCACTGTCTAATCTCCGTGTCATTTTTATTTCCAGCAGGCGCTGGGCAGAGGAGCTGCTAGAACAATGCTGAGGCGGGCGAGGTGAAGAGTGGCCCTCACGGCCCCCCCCACCCCCCCACGACGGAGTGTCTCGAACAGGTGATAGGAGGATCCGGAAACCGAGGCCACCTGGGCATCCCTCCCCGCCCTCAGCCAGGCCCCCGGCACCCCAAAGACCGCGGGGAAACCATGGCGACCAATTTCAACGACATCGTCAAGCAAGGCTACGTGAAGATGAAGAGCAGGAAGCTGGGGGTGAGCCGCCCCCCCGCGGGGCCCTGCCGAGGGGGCCGGCGTCCCGGGACCTGGTCTGGAGCCTGCCGCGTCCTGTGTGCGGGTGCCCGCCTGCGGCGGCATCGCGCCGTTGTGGTCCCGAGGCTTCTGGCCAGCCGGCTACCCGGCATGTGCCGCTGCTGCCCCCCTCCCCCCAGCAGGGCTGGCCGGCGTCCCAGCGGCTGGGCCAGCGGTGGCGGCCGACGACGGGCAGGCGGCTCCCCTGCCATTGTTGAAGTTGTGGCCAGGACAGCGGCGCTGGAGCGGCAGTGTCTGAGCCTCTCCCAGCCTCTCACTTCTCCTTGCCTCCTCCTCGTCTCTCTCTTTCTCTCCTCCCCTCTCTTGGCCCCTTTTCTTTTAAGTCCCTTGGTCTCCGCGGCTTCCATTGCTTTCTGTGTATGGGTCCTTATGTATTTGTTTTGGCCAGTGCTTTTACTGTTAAAGGAGTGTGTGAAAGGGAGTGTGGCTGGCTGTGGGGCAGGGCAGTGGTGTGAGGGTGCAGAGGCTGGTATTTCTGTGGTTTAGGAATGAGCCCTTAGGGCAGGATGGCCTGTGGCTCTGGGACAGGCTGCTTTCCTCCAAGTTGCTGGCGGTGGCTCCTTGCGCACAGGGGGCCTGGCCCAGAGCTGGGGGCTTAGAAGGTCTGTGGGGATGAGGCCTCAGACACACTTCAGTGGGCACGCGCCCCCTCACCCCCTCCTGGTAAATACAGCCTCCCCTCAACCCCCCGAGGGACCAACCTAATGATCTCGGTGAGGTTGTCCAAGAGCTGCCTCTCATTCCCTGCCGACCCTCTCCCGCCTCCAGTCAGGGGTCTTGGCAGCTACCCCTTCCCCAGTAGGAGGGTACCCTTGGTGACTGGGGTGGCCCAAGTCTTGTGTTTTCGAGGGGTCTCCAGTCTCTCTCTTCCTACCCTCCCCCGTTGGCCTGATGGGGGTGGGGTGCCATCGGACTACTCAAGGCTTCCTGGCTCAGCCTGCGTGGGGTGGGGGAGGAACAGGGCTCTGGGAGGGCTTCCCCGCCTGGATGCCTGACCGAGCTGGGCTGGCCTTGGCGAGGGGCGGCTCTGGCCCCTCCCTCCCTGCGGCCCCTGTGGGGGTGTGTTCTGCCCAGAGTGCATGTCTAGAGTCTTCGCTAGATCCGGATTTGTACCCCAACCTGGGTTCCAATCCAGGAGACGGGCCCAGGTGGGCAGCCACCTTGCTCATGTCCTGAGAGAGGGATGGAGCCCACGTGCAGCTCAGAACTAGAGAAATTGAAAATTAAGGGGGCGAGGGGAGGCCAAGGGAGTAGGGGCCCGGCTTCAGCAGGTACCCGGGGGCCAGGGCAGAGCCTACGGGAAAGGCGAGCCCCCTCGAGGCGGCCACTTGCACTCAGCATCAGACCTATTCCAGGAGGAGACCTGGAAGCAAGTGGCATACAGGTGGACACAGCCAGGGGGAGGGGTTGGGAGTAGGGGTGTGGCCAGACCCAGTTTGGGGCTCCCCCTACCCAGGGCGTTGAGCTGCTCCCGTTAGGTCTGATGTGAGGGGCTTAGTCACCCAGCCATTCTTGTCCCAGGGCAGCCATTCTTGTCTGAGCTCACAAAGGTGAGCCGGGAGGGGCTGAAGGAGCTGGGGCGCAGACCCTCCTCCCTGCCAGGGCCTTCCTCTGGCAGAGCTGTGGCAGAGTGTTTCTGAAGTGCTGATCAAAGACCGTGAGAAGTGGGGAAGGAGGGCTCTTGAGCACAGTGGCTCCCTGGGGCTGTGCGTGCGTGCGTGCGTGTGTGTGTGTGTGTGTGTGTGTGTGTGTGTGTCTGTAACCAGGCAACCAGGGTGCTCAGGCCCCTGGGCCTTCTGCCCCTACACTGCAAGCTGCATGGGGCCCAAGCTGGCAGGGCGTATCTGGGTCGACAGCCTTCATTCATTCATCCATCCATTCACCGTCTCTTCCTATGGTCATTCACTTGTTCAGCAGAGCTGTGTTAACAAGGTTGCCAGGATGTGAGTGAAGATTCTGAGAATAAAATAGTCTTTGCCGTAAAGGAGCTCCCCAGCTAAGAGCTGAGGCCTGCTGTGGTTTAGGGGGATAGGCCAGGGACTGAGCCAGGGCCATGTGTACCGGGGCAGAGATGCCTCCAGAGTCCCAGGTAATCCCCGAAACGGCCTGGTTCTGAGTGGCTTCTTGGCATGGGGCCCTCCCTACCAGCGACCTGGGGCTTGAGTGGCAGAGCAGGGTGGAGTGGGGCGGGCTGCAGGTATGGGGCTATGGCCTTCTTGCTTCTTTTGCTCTGGGCAGCCCTCAGTCTCCCTGCTATTTGCCAATGAGAGAGTGGGCACCAAGAGATTTCTTGGAATCTACTCATGAACAGAGTAGGCTGAAAGAGCCTGGGACGGAGGAGAGGGCCGGGGAAGGAAGAGTGTGCAGCCTGGGCAGACGACTAGGCCACCACTGGAGGGGTCTGACAAGCCAGTTTGCCGTGGAGCATGGTCGGCTCCCTGCACCCTGGCTCCTTGCCGGTCAGCACGAGTCCATGAAGCTCCAGAGAATTAAGGCGGTTTTAGGCACGGGGCCATTGGCAGCGGCTGGACAGGAAGGAGCCTTGCCTGGGAAGGCACTCTGCTTTGGGGTAACCCCAGCTTCTGGGCTCTGCCCCTTTACCTCTGAGAGCCTCTGGTTTCCCAGCTGGAACAGGAACTAATCCTGGCCCTCAGCACTCCAGAATGTGGAAGAAGGACCAGAGATGAGAGGGGGTATTACCCACATCAAGAGCCCTCCCCCCAGCGCTGAGAACCAGGACCAATGTGCAGGCTCAGGATGGTCAAGGGTCTAATCCCTGTCCCAAGGACACTCCATCTGCTGTGGCTAGCACTGCCGGAGCCCTGGGCAGAATATTCTGCAGTGGGCTCCAAGTATCAGTTCTGGATCTAGCCAGCCTTTTTTTTTTTTTTTTTTTTAAATATCAGCCCCACCATTTATCAACTGTTGCTTAACTTATTGGTGCCTCGGTCCTCCTGTACCTATAAGGTAAAAATGATAATCAAACCAACCTCAAGAGGGACTCTGAGATGGACAGTGAAGAGTGCTAGGAAGTACAGAAGGGAAACAATAAGCGTGGGCTCTTTATATTAAGCTTAGAGCTGAGCGCACAGTAAAGTGATTCAGAGCGCCCTTTGTGCAAGTTGTTCAGAGTCGGGGAAGAAATGCCTGCTTTCTCGGTTTGGGGAGGGGGCGTCACTGCTGGTCCTGGGTTTTCTTCTGGGCTGGGTCTCCAGGGAAGGCTGTGTAGCACTGCCCCCTGTGGCAGGCAGGGGTAAGTTCAGGGCCGTGCTGGGTAGGGGTGGTCCCAGGAGGCCTGATGCCACTGCCCTCTCACCCCACAGATCTACCGGAGGTGCTGGCTGGTGTTCCGGAAATCCTCCAGCAAAGGGCCCCAGCGGCTGGAGAAGTACCCAGATGAGAAGTCAGTGTGCCTCCGGGGCTGCCCCAAGGTTAGGGGGCCTGGGCCCTAGCTACCCCAGTCTGTAAAGTGACGACTGGCCGAGCCCTAAGGTCCAAGAGCACCCTCCCGGGGGTGGCGCCACTGTGGGGAATGCAGAGGGAGGCGTTCCAGCCTGGCTCAGTCCCTTGTGGATGCTGTCCCAGGTAACTGAGATCAGCAACGTCAAGTGTGTCACGCGGCTCCCCAAGGAGACCAAGAGGCAGGCAGTGGCCATCATATTCACTGACGACTCAGCACGTACCTTCACCTGCGACTCGGGTGAGGAGCTGGGGCTGCAGGCTTCCATCCAGACTCCCCTGGGCCAGTCATGGTCCGGTGGTCCAGTCGGGAGGAGGCAGAGCAGGACCAGCCCTGGCCGGGTGTGATGTGTGGGGGTGGAGGTAGTGGGGAGAGGCTCGGGACAAGGTGGGACAGGCAGGCGGAACCCACTGGCCTCGGCCTCCCTGCCTTGCCGGGTGGGCTGCTGGGGGCCCCCGGGTGCATGCGCTGCCGTTCTCTAGAGCTGGAGGCGGAAGAATGGTACAAGACCCTGTCGGTGGAGTGTCTGGGGTCACGACTCAACGACATCAGTCTGGGAGAGCCGGACCTCCTGGCCCCAGGAGTGCAGTGTGAGCAGACAGGTGAGGCCCCGTGCTGGCGGGGGGGGGTGGTGGTGGGAGGAGAGTCCTGCCCTGGGGAGGCCCCAGCCCCACTCCCCCTCTCCCGCCGCAGACCGCTTCAACGTCTTCCTGTTGCCCTGCCCCAACCTGGACGTGTACGGCGAGTGCAAGCTGCAGATCACCCACGAGAACATCTACCTCTGGGACATACACAACCCCCGCGTGAAGCTCGTCTCGTGGCCCCTCTGCTCACTACGCCGCTACGGCCGGGATGCCACACGCTTTACCTTCGAGGCCGGCCGGTAGGACCCTCCCGCCTCCCTACCCTGCCCCACATGGCCAGCGTGTTGCCTGCCATTTGCTCTACCAGGCACTGTGCTGGGCGCCTATTTATCAGCATAGAAAACCAAAGGGGAGTGTAAACTTCCCATTTTATAGATGAAGAAATTGAGGTGCACACCAGGCAGGTCAAATGCAGCTGTTTCAAACTGCTTGAGCTCAAATCAAATGCTGGCACTGGCACTTACAGCTCTGGCTGTGGACTGAGTCTCCATCTGTCAAATAGGGGATAAAGTACCCAAGCTCCTAGACTTATGGTGAGGATTGAGTAATCTGTGGCTTGAACTCTGGAGCCAGCGTGTCTAAACGTAAATTCTGTGTAATCCCTGGTCTAATCCTGGTTAAACTACTTACTATCAGCACGCCTCAGCTTCCTAATCTGCAAAATGGTTTGAGAAAATTCGTAACAGGAAGGTAAAAGTGCACAAACCAAAGGGATGGGAGAGAAAGTGGAATGGGTTCATTCTCATCAGGGATTTAGATCACTGGTCCACGGAAAGGCCCAGCACACTCGGGCTGGGCGGACGACAGCCCTGCTCGCTCCTCAGCGGACCTGGGGTGCAGCCTGTTGGAGCGCGGAGACCCGGACCAAACACGTGTGTGGCCGTGGTGCAGTCCCCACCACCCTGCCCTCGGTGCCTCTTGTGTCCCTAGGATGTGTGATGCCGGGGAAGGGCTCTACACCTTCCAGACACAGGAAGGGGAACAGATCTACCAGCGGGTCCACAGCGCCACCCTGGCCATTGCTGAGCAGCACAAGCGCGTCCTGCTGGAGATGGAGAAGAATGTGAGGGTGAGGCGGCGGGCGTTGGCCCAGCCTAGCGGGGAGGCCGGAGGCGAAGAGTACGCCAGAGGCCGGCAGGGGGCTGGGCTGGAGGCTGGGGTAGGCCTGTGCCCCAGAGCTAATGGAGGGACCCCTGTTCTCTGCCCCACAGCTGCTGAACAAGGGCACGGAACATTACTCCTACCCCTGCACGCCCACGACCATGCTGCCCCGCAGCGCCTACTGGCACCACATCACGGGTTCCCAGAACATCGCCGAGGCGTCGGGCTACGCTGGTGAGTCCCAGTGGTGCCCCACACTCACCTACCACGAGGTTCTGCGGAGGGCAAGGCCTTCCGGGTGGGGGTCCTCTGACCTGCGTCTGAGTCCTGAGCCCGCCTCTGTGTCCACAGGTGAGGGGTACGGGGCAGCCCAGGCCAGCTCAGAAACAGACCTCCTCAACCGCTTCATCCTGCTAAAGCCAAAGCCCAGCCAGGGGGACAGCAGCGAGGCCAAGACCCCAGCCCAGTGACAGCAGGGCGCGCGCGCACTGAGGACTGCCGGGGCTGCCTGTTGCCGGGCTGACTGCAGCGTGCTGCGGACGGCCCCGAGGGGCTGCTGGCCGAGAGCCTGGAGCAACGGAGCAAGCGATCCCTTCCTTGCCCCCAAGGGTGAGGCTGGACCAAGGCCCGGGGCTGGCCACAGCGCCAGAGCATGTGTGAGGGGCTGGAGCTACTGTGGGACTATATACTGTTAATGATTTTAATATATATGGCTTATGACATATTCTATATTAAGGAGATTTCCCCCATCCCTCCCCAGTACCACATCCACCCTTTTGAATCCCATGAGCGGGTCAGTCAAGGCTGTTTTAGAATGTGAGGGTGGCGGTTCCCCGTCCTCCAGGGCACAGCCCCCTGCTGCCAGGACTTGTTTCAGGGGCCAGGGCCAGAGGAGGGAGACGAAGCTCCAGGCTGGTGCTGTGACCACTGGCTTTTCCCCCAAGCAGCCCAGGGGTGGAGACAGCAGGTGGCTTCTGAATCCCTCTGGGCCCAGAGTGGCACAGGAAGCATCTGAGCTTCCACTTGGCAGCCTTGCACTTGGAAGTTTTAAGCAGAGGTGACATCTGGTTGACACCTCAGGTGAAAATCTGGTTCTAAAATCTAATTTTTACCCAAGCTCCTTCCTGCTTAGTAGGCTGAGAAGACACCCTGGGGTGGGGGTGCGGGTTACCTCAGTCAGGAGGAGGGCCGGTCCGAGCTCTTCCCTGCCCCAGGGCCAGGCTGGGGGGAGCACCCCTCCCAGACCCGGGGCCGGGCGATGTCCCAGCAGAGGGAGCCCCTCTGCCCTGTCTGGCCACCCTAAAGCACTCAGAAACGGAGCCCTTCCCATTTCCTCTTTCCCACATGGTGCTGAGGCTCCCTGCTGAAATGCAATTAAAGCAATTGATTTTCTAGTGCTGGTATTTATTGACTACCTTGCAGAAGGGCTATCTTTCTAATTCCCATCAAACCCTTGGTTGCGTGTGTGGGTTTTTTGTTTTTTTAATACTTTAGGGTTCTGATTTGTGGGAACAGACCCTGTTGTAAATAACCACTATTCAAGCTGTGGCGAAATGATCCAGCGAGAGGCCCCTCTAGGAGAGCCCAGGAGCCAGAGAGGGGCCACAGCCAGCTCGGTGCCCAAAGCCTTGGAGAGGGAGGGAGGGCCGGCTGGCTCCAGTTAGTGGCACGATGACGCATGAAGGAGATTATGTTGTGCTCTTTATTGCCAAAAATAAAAACTTTTAAAAAGACAACTACTGAATCAATAAATTATCCCTTCCTTTCTGTACTGATCTCTGGTTTTCTCCAGGCTGCTCCTGCCAGGCTGCCTCATTAACGACTTTGGGCATGACTCTACCTACAGGGCTAGGGGTCAAGGCCAGACCTTCCCTTCATTAAGGCCCTTGCCCCCCAGCACCCACACTTAAAGGATCAGGCCACTGGCAGTGCAATTCATAACTAGTGGGCAGAGAATGAAATGCAGGCCTTACCTGGGGCAGGGGGGCAGCCAGGCTCTATCCCTATTCTCCAGGGGTTCTCAAGTTAGGGACACTTGGAGATGTGAGCGAAGTGCCAGTAGAGTGGCTCAGAGCAGAGACCGGAAGGGTTGGTACACAACTTGAATGAGCGTTCTAGCACTTAATCCTAACACCAGAAGTCCAAGGTACAACTGTGAAACCTCCACCTTTTGGACAGAAGGGGTCTGGAGACCTGAAATGACCCGGAGAAGAGGGGCCAGCTCAGTGGTTCACAGAAAACTCCCCCAAAGGCACATACGAAAACGGGACGTAAGGGATGCTCTGGGGAGTGCTACTGGCAAGTACTGGGCAGAGCCAGGGACGTAAGGTCTAGTTAAAAACTGCCTCAAATGCCGGTGGCACGCCTGGCAATCTAACGGAGCAAGGCTGGGATAGTCCTCCCCTTCCACATGGCTCCCTTGTAGATGGTTTGCCAAGAAGCCTGAGCAACAGCTGTCCACACCCCAGAAGCTAGAAGAGGCTCTGGAGCCCTGAAATCTAGATGCTGGCCTACATCCCCCTCTTTTTTGTTTACGCAGGTGAGCTGTGCTAGTTTATGGTTAGGACATCACTCTGGATCTCGTGGCTTAACTGGGTCTGTAAATCACTCAGCTTCTTCTTCAATCCAGAGAGGGCCGACAGAACAATGGTCTCAGGGCGCAGGGAGCCACAGGACTCGACGTTGTAGTAAAACCTAAGAGGAAGAGTGTGGTGAGAGCCCTCCACGACGCAGGCTGGCTCACCTGAGCGCCAGCCTCGGGTCACGCGTGCTCTCCTGGGTGGCTTTAACCTCTTACTAACGGTGGGCCTGCTGCACATTACGGGACTCCAAGGAGGCACGGCTAGCTCAGAAAGCTCCTGGGGAAACCTCAGAACACTTCTCCTCCACATTGAGGAGAAAGTGGAAGGTCAAGTGAGCAGTGGCTCATGCTCACTATCAGAAGACTGGTCCGTTTCTGGCTCAAGGCAGATCCTCTCCTTTGGGGACCGCGTATCACGAGCAGGAGCAGAGCGGATAACCCGAGGCCCCGTGTCCCACGGTGACTACGCGGGAGGAGATCTGCCCCGGGACAGGCACCTGTCATGGGTTCCGCAACTATCCTTCCTTCCTCAGCCCACGGCCACTGGGACGTGAGGGAAGGGTCTCCCCAATGCAGACCTCGCACCAACACCTCACACTCGTACACTTCGCCTTCCAGCGCCAGACCAGGCCCTTACCTCTCTGGCTTGCCGTTGGGGTCATAGGGAGCCTGTGACTCATCTTCATCCAGTTCGGAGTACTCACTCTTTGGCCTGAGGTCAAACACAGGTCAGTACAGGGCTGCTACGGCTGCCTCTGGGGCACTGTGTCCACAGTGAGCCTGCCCCAACTCCGGTGACTAGGAGCCATTTCCACACCACCCCACCCTTAATGCCCTTACATCCAATGAGAACATACCATTCCTCAGGCTTGGGATACACTGTGTGCCTCAGGGCATTGTCAGGATCATATTCAAAAGCCACCCCTGCGGTGGGGTTCCACTTGGCATGCTCCTTGCCAAAGCCCTTTTTGGCGTAGGCTCGAAGTCTTAGCTCCTGGCCTTTCCTCAGCTTGACGATGAGGATGTCTGTGGGGGAGACGGGGGAGTCAGTCAAGGGCCGGTACAGACATGGTCCCCGGAAGTTGGACCTGGAAGACCACACAATTGGGAAAAACAACTCAAAGGTCAGCTGACAAGGAGACCAGAGAGCACTAGGGGCTGTGTCTCGTCTCTGGTTCTGTACTGTCCAGCAGGACGGCAGATCGGGCAAATGTCCGCATAACCCCCAGCCCCAGCCCCTTACCGTCCTGCTCCACGTAGTCATTGGGGTCATTATCTCGGTTCCGGGAGGTCACCTGTAAGGGGCCCAAACAGAGGCGTTTCTTAGCTGCTCGTCTCCCCAGTCACCTCTTCCGGCAACTATGTTCTAGCACCTGCCGACCAGGGACGGGATGCCGGGAATGAGGGGGCCGAAGCGCACCTACTGGGACAAAGTCTGTGCTGGAGCTGGACTCCAGGCCACACCTCCCAGCCTGGTGACAGCTTCCCAGTCAAAACAGGACCAGGGCCTCTAAAAGGGTCCTCGGGTGACAGAGGGCGGGCACACAGTACCAGCAGTGCTCCTGTCCACCCTGGCTGGCGCCCACAATTATTAGCATGTTTAGGGAGCAGCTCAGATAAAGGCAGAGGGGAACACAAGAAGAACAGGGTCCTGACTAAGGACGGCGCGGAGCGACACTGACAGGAATGACCCGGGGGCTGTTGGAGATGAGGTCTCGAGATGTGACGTGACGAGTCTGGTCTTCGTTGCACCGCACATCAAGCGTGAACTCCACGGAGCACTCGGGGCAGAACTCTTCGCACGTGCAGTCCTGCGGCGGGGGGACAGGCAGGAATGAGCCTACGGAGAGGTGGCGGATGCTGAGCCCCCAGCTTCTAACACCCAGGTCCTTACATTTCTTAACGTGCAAGGGCTGCCAACAGGCTCCAAGCTCTTGTGGGCTGTGTCTATCTGGCCCACCATTCTTCCAGGCCACCGGTGTGTGGGCCCTTCACAGCTTAGAGCCCACCTATATCTGCCGGCGCCTGTGTTTACTGTCCACCCCCAGCAGCTGCCAGGCCACCACCGGGAGACACACTGCTCAACTCCCACCCTGGCCCTCGGAGCACCCTGCTTCAGAGACACAAGGTGTTAAGTAAGAGACGAAGGCTTTCGTGTTTTAAAGTGCAGCTTCCCATGAACTACATGAATTAGCTCAAGAATGCAATCATTTAAAATGAAATGATCCCAGCAACAACAAAAAAAGTATCTTTCAAGTTCTAGGCTACTAACTAGCCTTTTCTTTAAAAAACCAACCAAAAAAACCTTTCCATTATGGGAAATTTCACACTCACGAGAGCAGAGCAAAGTAACCATCACTCAACTTCAATAATTATCAATAGGTCTTTAAGCAACCCTTGAAACAATCCACTCCTATGTCAGGGACCATCTGCTACAGTTTGACTTCAGACAAGAAAAGTTACTGGAATTAACCAAACAAATTGTTCTCCCCCTCAAGCCAGTGAGGAAAATCTAACTTGCTTCTGAGGTTTTTTCAGACAAGGAGGGGGAACTAGAGGCCACACCTGGACAGTCTGCAGTCACACACAGGTGAGGCGGGCAGACAACTTAGACCCTGATTAGAACTATGAAACGGCTGGGCGCCTGAGTGGCTCAGTCAATTAAGCATCCGATTTTTTTTTTAATGTTTTATTTATGGGGGGGAGGGGGAGCGGGAGCGAGACAGCATGAGCAGGGGAGGGGCAGAGAGGGAGATACAGAATCTGAAACAGGCTCCAGGCTCTGAGCTAGCTGTCAGCACAGAGCGCAACGCGGGGCTTGAACCCACGAACCGTGAAACCATGAAACCATGACCTGAGCTGAAGTCAGACGCTTAACCGACTGAGTCACCCAAGCGCCCCAAGCATCCGATTCTTGATGTCAGCTCAGGTCATGACCTCAGTTTGAGATCGAGCCCTGTGTTGGGCTCTGAGCTGACAGGACAGAGTCTGTTTGGGATTCTTTCTCTCCCTTTCTCCCTGCTCCTCCCGTACCCCCTTCAAAAATAAGTAAATAAATAAATATGAAATGGAAAAGGAGCACCCAGCTGGCTTAATCAGTAGAGCATATGACTCTTGCTCTTCAAGTTTTAAATTCGAGCCCCACGTTAGAAGTAGAGATTACTTCAAACGAAAATCTATTAGAATATGAAATGGAAGAATCAAAATGTCATGGAAAATAAAAATATAAAAAGGTACACAACCCCCCCCAAAAAATATATATCATCAAGGAGAGGTATCTCAGATTAAGAGCCTAAAAAAGTCTAACAACCAAATGCATGCATGAATCTTGGCTGGATGACAGACAAAAAGCCAGAAAGGACATATGGGGGACAACTAGTAAAATCTGAGTATTTGAAATATTCAAAATATGACAAAATATGCTAATATTCTTAAGCATGGTGGAATGGTTATCTACGAAAATATCATTAGTTTCAGGACAAGCATGCTGAAGTAATTGGGGGGAAAGTGTTAGGGTATCTGCAACTTTCAAATGGTTCAACAAAAATAACATGGAGAGGAGAAACCAAGCGGATGTAGCGAAATATTAACAGCTGGTAACTAAAGCTAAAAGTAAATGGCTGTTTATTAGTTGATTTTTCTAACTTATGTAGATTTTCAGAAAAAAGAAAAAAAGAGAAGGGGACCATAACATCTTTGTTCAGCAAACACTGGAAAAACTTTAATGGACGGAACTGCTAGTCATGGGGCAAGCATACCTTTCCCCAAGGCCCTGCCAAGCTGCTCTTCAACTGGTTGTACAACAGCCCCCCA